TCAAATCCAAATTATTTGAGATCTAATGCAATTTTTAGAAACCGGTGTTAGTACCAAAAGGAAAGAATACATAGGCATAAAAATTTAAACATTCTTCACATTAGAAACCCTATCGATTGCATACCTCATTAATTATCCAAAAATATTATCGGGATATGTGTTTATTGGAACGGAGCTGATGATTGCAAGGAAATCGTAGTGCTTGAAGTAGTCGAAGAATCCCGGCGATTGGCATAGTTTGCAGGCAATGTTGGATGTAGTGGTTGGGTGAAATGGGGAAAAGGGAGAATTTAAGCACAAGGTGAAGAGGAGCTTGGCGCTGGTGAACTAGAGGCTGGCGATTTCCTGAAAGATGAGTACTTGGCATCCGCAATTTTTGTGCTTAAATCAAAGATATTTGTAATTTGTACAAATTTTATTGTTTATTTCAAATTGTACAATAAAAATAAATTTTTTTTTTCATCACATAATCTACTCTATTTATTTACATATTATGTGACTCAAACTTAAAAAAAAAAGAATTACTTCTTTGCATATAATATAGTTACAACACTATGACATGGTAAGTTATTACAATCTTAATATGTCAAGTACGGCTTGACATCACAACCTTAAAAGGCTAATAATGGTAATTACATTTACATGTATATATACCCCAAATTATTACCTAACATAAACACTATGCAGTCCAGAAAAATTTTCTAAGTTACTATATATATTCCCTCTACCTCATCATCACTTTGAAGCTCTTGTATATAATCATTATACTCTTTGCATAACAGAGGCGAGGCCGGCGGCCTTGTTGCTGGACTGCTTGCAACACTAGGGAAGGCAGGGTATGAGGGATGCATATTGAGCGTACCTCCATTCAAGTTGTTGCTGCTTCCAGCTCCGGTCTGTCTGTGGCCGTAAGTTTTCAGGGAGGCCTGCTTGTTTTAATAGTGAGTTTGTAAGAAGAATATGCATGAATTAATTTTTCCAAAATAGGGGCAGAGACTTACAAGTTCTTTTTTCAAATTTTCCAATTCACTCCTGACCTGGCCCAGTTCATGCGACTGAGTTCTAGATGAGCTTCCATTTGCTAACACAATGTCTTCTTTTAGGGATTCAATAATCTCGTCCTTTAACCCTCCAATGTTTTCAGCCTCCGGAATGAAAAACAAGGATAATTGTATCATTTTCCAAAATTTTTAACACTAAAAGCTGAATATAAGAAATTTTTTTTGGGCGGAGGGTTTAAAAGAAGATAGGATTCTGTAGCCAGATTTCACTTTCGCAAAAATAAAGAATTCTATCCAAATAAAAATTTTCATATTAATATCAAATTTTAATTAGAAATAAAAAATAATAACAAACAGCTCCTATATGTGTTAGGGGCCGGTGAACTTACAAGTTGCTTCTCGCACTTCTTCCTCCATTTTTCGAACCTCTTTTTCACCAAGACCTTTTCTTCTTTTAGTGATTCATTTTCAGCCTCAATTTGCTTCCGTTTCTTCTGAAATACCATGATAAAATTCAAGACTCAGAGAGCAAAAAGAAAATAAAGTTTGGTATATAGTTAATTATAAGGGGCAAACTTATAAAGAGGATCAAATCATACTATGATTGATTCTAATATAAAAAGAAGAAAGAATAAAATCCAATTATAAAAGGAATGAATATCATGTCATTATGATATATCATCTTAGAAACCCCCATTGTTAGGCCTACATGTAAGGTGGAAAGCCCATTGTTAGGCTTGCATGCGAGGGCACATGAGGGCACGCGAGGGGGCATGATATATCAAAGAAACTTATGAGTGAAATATAAAGAAGGTTACTCCACTTATAACCAATTGATTTTAGGTTGAATACAAACCTTTTGTTGAAGTCCACATGCACAATTTCTACATGGTATAAGAGCCCAAGTTTTTGTCTTGAAAAGTTCATTGTTAGTCCACCTCACAGGACTTGAGGTTCATATCAGGTCTGCATATAAGGGGGTGAATTAAGGCACTTAATAGGACCCGACATTCATAGCGGGCCTACCTATGAAGGAGTATGTTTAGTGAAAAAATCTCACATCGAGCATATAACAAAAGAGGAGGGTTACTCTACTTATTGCCAATTGATTTTAAGTTAGATGCAAGTCTTGTATTGAAACTCATATGCACAATTTTCACAACTTACATGTTGCTTCTCATACTTCTTCTTCAATTCGTCAAACTTCTGATTCCCCAAAATGATTTCCTTTCTAAGGTATTCATTTTCGGCCTCAAGTTTATCGAGGGTGGACTTCATTTGCTCTTTGTCTTCCTGAACATTCATAAGTACTCATGTATCAAAACTCAAAGGTTATATTTAAGCATACTGATTGGTATATCTATGATTTAATACACTGTATAACACATTTATCAAAAAATTATTAATTTTTAATTTAAAATTAAAAACAAACAAATTTAAAAATACGGTCATATATATAATTTGCAGAAATCAACTGAATTAGTTATACTTATATTATATTTTAATAATTGAATCTATCAAATATTAAAAAAGTGTATTATATCAAAAGGTATATAAATTATTGTTTTATATTTAATTGTTTGTATGTAATTATTAAGTCCATTAGACAGAGATCATGCATAGTGGAAGGAATAGATACAACTTTGAATTACTATATTAACTGTTTCTCATCTTTACAATTTATATATTAAAAGAAAATTGCATCCAAAGTTGTAACCATAGATCAGAAAGGAAAAAAAAATCATTCTTCTTTTGCTAAAATTAAAAAGAGATCAGAAACAAAGATATATCATGAGATAAAGTTGCATCCAATTATATAGGCACCTACCTTGGTTCTCACCCTGTATCTTCTATCGGTCTCTCTCTTTCTGGCACGTGGGTCTGGTGTAGCATTTTCGCTGCTAGAAATTGCAAAGGATCTATCTGCTGGTTGGCGTTGACCTGATTGTTGTTGCCTGATCTGCTTTGTTGATCCGGCAGCGGTCTGGTTAATCACTGGAGGATTTTGCTCGCTGCTTACATTTGTGGAATTGTTTCTCCAAGACAGATCTTCTTGTAAAAATTGGTCACTATACACTGTAATAGATTAAAGATATAGAATGCTGTATGACATTAATTATGAATGAAATCAAAGCAGAAGAAAGGAACTAAAAAACCTTAAACCAGCCTTAATTCTCTCTCTCTCTCTCTCT